GCCTTCACGTGCCCTCACGTGGCAACTCTTTCTACCTCACGTGCTTGTAACTCGCTGAATTGCAGTCTCTCACGAGCACCTTTTTCCTCGAGACTTTCTACAAATTCCTTTTGTGTCCCTGCTCAAAAAATATCATCTTACGCATCGAATTTCATCGTGATTCCTTCTACAACTTTGTAGATTTCATTATTGTGACTCTATCGAGCCTCATTTCATAACATATTATCCAACATATATCAAGTAATCGAGATTTAAAGCTTAAAAAGATATGAATTTTTAGTTCTCCAAGAAGAGCATAAGACCTTGAGTTTCCTTCACAAGGAGCTTCCACGAACATTCTTCAAATTTTTTAAATCGATCAATTTATTTATTATCATTATTATAACACAACCAAACAAAATTTGTTTTGCCTATAATTTTGTCTTTGCTATCATTACTACATTTACATATATATAAATAATATATATATATAATACATACATAGAATATTACAATTTTTTCCCTCCTTTAAGAAACTTTCTGATTCCATAAATAAATGTCCATGGATAGAATTGTAAATTGAAATCCTTCTAGTAGTTTCCTTTACTAGCTCGTTTTTCCACCAAACTTCAACAAAGGAAATGTGTATGTTACGTAAAGATTTCGCTTTCTGTGCTAAAATGTTGAGAGTTGGTTGTTCGTAACTCAGATCCTCTTTCAATTGTAAGTCTTTGTAAGGAAGAACATGTGCGGAATCTGCCACATATTTTCGTAGCATCAAAACAGCGTTGAAACATGAAAAACATTGTGTACTGTCTCTAATGTCGATTTGTACCCTTTATGAGAAAATTTTACCAAATATAGGTAGATATCCCAACCACCGGAAAAATCTAGTATACAAGCACGTATTATATCCTCGATAATCTGATTCAATCTTTCTGGGGTGAAACGTTGTATTGAACTTTGGTTGTGTATCAAGTGCCTCCTAATGACTTCTCCAGAATCGAGAAGTAAATCGTGTGTCCCTATCTTACACAACTGAAACTGGTGCACCATGCAAGCGTATAATTTCTTTTAAGTACGATGGTGCTCAATTGTCAACTAAATATGTTGACTTTCCTGGTGTAAGATGAGTTGTCTTAGTTAGTCTATCCACAACAATCCATATCACCGTAAATTCCAACCAGGTTCTAGGTAGTCCCGTAATAAAATTCATGATCACCTCTTCCCACTTCCACAGGAGCGCGTTCAGAGGTTACAGTAATCCAACAGGTTTCTGTCTAGGTGCCTTAACTTGTTGAAAAGTTAAACACCTACTGACATATTCAGTAACGTCCTTCTTCATCCCAAACCACCAAAAAAACATATGCATTTTAAACTACCATCAATTGCTACCAAGAATCCTTAGCTCGCTCAACCTCTAGAATAACTATCTTAGCTCGTTCAAACTCCATTTACATTTTAGTTTGTCTTGTTAGCAATAAAGACGAGTGAGCTGTTATATGACTCAAGACATCAACTACCACATTAGCTTTGTCAGGATGACGAGGATTTCCATATCATAATCTTTCACTAGCTCCAAACATTGTCATGTCCTCATATTTAGCTCTTTCGGTGTGAATAAATATTTGAGGTTCTACCTCATGCATACTCGCTCAGTCACACACGACAGTCGCAATCTCCCACGCACCCCTCACGACCTCATGAAAAATTTCAACTCTTATATTAATTCCTTTGATGTCCCTGTCCAAAAATATCACCTTACCCCCAAACTTTCATCCCGATGCCTTCTACAACTTTGTAGATCTCATTTCATGACTCTATCGAGCCCTATTCCATAACCTATTACCAACATACATCGAGTTATCAAGATCTAAAGTTTCGAAAATATGGATTTTTCGAGAATGTTCTGTAGCTCCTCTTCCTCAAACGCCTCGATCCCTCCACGCGTTTTCTTCCCCCTCTTCTTCATTACAGCAGCTGTTCTCTGTTCTTTTTATATTATTCTTATTGTTATAACACAACCAACAACATTTGCTTGCCTTTAATTATGTCGTCACTATAATCATTACATTTACATATATACATACATAGACAAAACATTACACTTGTCTTTTGTTTTGACCTGAAATAAGGAGCATGTGGTTTGGTAACACTATTGAAGTGTGTTGAATTCTTAACCCCTTTTCCCATTTGCAGCAATGCCGTACACACCATTACTGATAATACTATTTTATTTGTCTTGTGGCTGCTTCATGCCTATATAAACTCCCCACCCCTCAACCCCTAAGTGCCTCAGCGTTCAAGTTCAAAGCTACAATCAAACAAACTTATAGAACAGAGAACAGAACAGGGTTCTTGCAAATGGGGTCGGCCGTAGTAGTCTCGATTCCTGAAGAAATTCAGGATCAAAGAGTTACCGATGACGTTCCCGTTGATCAGAACAAGAACAAGAACAAGACGGCAGCTATGAACAAGTTCCGTAACTTGTTTGACTCGACTCGAAACAGAATAAAGAAACAAGACATGAAGAAAATTTTCCATAGCATTAAGCTTGGGATTGCTTTGGTTGTTGTTTCACTTCTTTATCTCCTTAATCCTCTTTATAAACAAGTTGGAGATAATGCAATGTGGGCTATAATGACTGTTATTGTTGTCTTTGAGTTCTATGCAGGTAATTCATTCACTAAATGCACCCATAATTCAGAAAATTTCTTGGTTTTGACTTGATTTTGGTTGGTTGGTTTAGGAGCTACACTGAGCAAGGGGCTTAACCGAGGGCTAGGCACGATTTTCGGTGGCGGGCTCGGATGTTTCGCGGGTTCATTCGCTCAAGATGTCGGCGGGGACGCCTGTGCTTCCATTATTGGAGTTTCCGTCCTTGTTTTTGGTGAGTCTTGGTTCTCGTAAAGTCAAAGGTTCAATTCTTCATATCTTATTGAACTCGTTTGTTCTTTAGGTGGTATCGCGACGTACTTGCGGTTGATACCGAGTATAAAGAAGAAGTACGACTACGGCGTGATGATATCGATATTGACGTTTAATTTGGTGGTGGTGTCTGGTATGAGAGAAGAAAAGATTATGGCATTAGCAAGAGAACGCTTGTCTACCATTGGCATGGGATTTGCAGTATGCATTTTCATAAACCTTCTCATCTTCCCTGCTTGGGCTAGCGATGAGCTGCATCACTCCACCGTCCAAAGCTTCCATAACTTAGCCAATTCCATTGAAGGTTTCTTCTTCTTGTTCATTCCACCATAATTAGCTATGAACATAAGAACTTAAAGCAATAGAATTCTGTTTCTCAGGGTGCATGGAGGATTATTTCAGCTCAGCTGATGACAAGAAGAAGAACAAATCTGATGCAAGTTTCAGCTCTTGTAAAGCAACTTTGAACACAAAATCAAAAGAGGAATCATTGGTACAAGCCAGTTTCCATTGTTGTTGATGTAAATTCCCATGAAGTAATGATCTTGAACAGAGATTAACTGTTTCTCAGGCTAATTTTGCCAAGTGGGAGCCATGGCATGGGAAGTTTGGGCTGAACTATCCATGGAATAGATATCTACAAATTGGGGAGGTTCTAAGAGAGCTAGCAGCTACTGTTCTTTCAATCAAAGGCTGTCTTCAATCACCAAGACAGGTATGAACATGAAATCCAAAGCTTAATGTTTCTAAAATTTGATGGGTTTCGTTGGAAAGTTTGATTAAGTTTGGTGTTTGGAATTTTGGGAGCAGCCCACATCAGGGATGAGAGAGGCGATCAAGGAGGCATGTGAGATGGGTGGATCGTCCATTGCATGGGCGCTGAAGGAGCTTGGAGAAGGTATCAAGAACATGAAAAGGTGTCAAATTGAGGGTGTCATAGTGCCTAAATTGAAGCTGGTTAGGCAAGAAATGAGCGGTTTAATCACTCCATCAAAGCTTGGAGTGATTGAGAATGGTGATGGATTGGCAATGGCTAGCTTTGTGTTCTTAATTATGGAGATTTTGGAGAAGGTAGAAGAACTTGCAAGAGAGGTTGAGGAACTTGAGGAGGCGGGTCGATTCCGTACTACGTGAATCTTCATCGTTTATTGTCTATGTTTTTATTAGTGTTATGTATATAATTATTTCCAATTTTTTTGGAGGTAGCTTAATTATACATTTATAGAATTCTTGAAGTTTGAGGTTAGTAGCATTTTGGTTTCGATGTTCGTTTGTTAATTAAAAGTTGTTCTTTTCAGATACTTGGTTCTTTTCCGCTCTTTCCTTTCTCTTTCGTTCTTCTTCATGCGTTACAAAAATGAATGGATACCATATATGTAATGAAAAGGTCCGAAAAAAATATTAATGAGAGGGAAAGGTGTAGCAATCATGAGAAGAATGAAAAGAGGAGAGAGAAGGAAGAGAGAGAAAGAAAGAAAAATATTTTTAAAAAATTTAATATAGGCTCTCGGGTCGACTAATATAACATCGCTCAAAAACAGTCAAAAGTGTAATTTTCTCTCCTTTTAACGTACAAACTTTACCAACTTTCCACGTTCTACTCCTTGAGATCAAGACCTGTTTGAACATAGTTCGATCAGAGAATAAGAGAGAATAGGCCAGAGCTCTCGATCATATTCCAATGCTCTCATAACAATCACATCACAAACAGTATAATTATAGTTAGAAACGTAAGACTTCAATCCCCTGAACAGAACGAAGTGATCAATCAAGAAGTTGCTCAACTGATGACTACCCGACGTGGCTCGCCTGGCCCCAAAAGTCTTCTTCTTTATTGGTTCACCATATTGAGGATGTTCATATTATGATCTTGAGAATAAGAACAGCTGCATTGTTTAATATTAAACCGAAAAGGAGAGGGAATAACAAAAAGAGACCTTTTCCTTTTCAGAGTGGAAGCAACACATTAAGTGACAATGGAGTTGCAGGCCATTTTCATTTTGGCTGTGCTCTGCGCACTCCCATCACTGCCTCAAGAGCCAAAGATGGATCCATTTTAGCAGGCGCAGAGATAGCCGGCTTGCAGACTGAAAACCAGAAGAAAATTCAAGCTGGATCAATAGAAAAAGTAGGCATCTTTTTCAGATATTCAAATCCTTAAAAGTAATAACACATGGGTTTTCGTCGCAATAACGCAACCCTAAGAGACGAAGGTGTTAGGACAACGAATCTTTGTGTATCTTCACAATATTAAAATATTGCGTTAATGGTTGTGCTTTCAAACCTAACCTCAGTCCACTTAGTTTCGTTTTTTAATGGAGATGTAGTTCTTACCTATATGCTCTTGATCTCTCTCATTTTTAACCAACGGGTGTCCCTAAAGATTTTCGTCCTAAACAAAGGGCCACCGAACCTTCCTTCAAATGCTTTTCTATTCAAGTTCTAGTTAGTAGAGTCCAATTGCATGTGATAATCTTACAACCTTTGATCGTACCGTCTTTGAAGCCTATCACAGTTAGTAAAGATAGTTTTTGTTTTCGGTTGAGTCTTGACTTGAAACACTTGATTTTGAAGGAGAAAGACTAATATCCTATTTACCGAGTGAAAAAAGCGAGGAAAAAAAATAGCTACTTTTACCTCATGAAAGAAGGGAGAAGAAAGAAGTCGAGGTTCAGGTTTTCGGTTGAGTCTTTCTCTTTTTTCTTATGATTTAGAATTGTAAAGGAGAGAAGACGAAGATAGAGTGAAAGAACGGTTTTCAACAAAGAAGGAGAGGAGTGAAGCAATGAGACCGAAGGGAGAGGAGCTATTATCTATGTAATTGAAAAAGCTGTAGAAGAGCACCACCACCATTCAGGTCCCGACACATGGGGGATTAATTCAATAGCAAAGATCGTGAATCAAGCAATTGAATCAGGAAGCGCTGCTCCACTGCTCAAGATAAGGGTTCATGATTTAGTTTTGAGATATTACAACATTTTGCATTCAACAACTCCCTCACTAACCTTATAATGCTTTGAAAAAACTGTCAAGATAGTTGTGAATGAGGTACAAAGCATATCACTTAAGATTTGAGATAAAAGTGAACGAGGAAGTGGGGAAGTATTGTTTCCTTAAACGATAGAACTTGAACTTGAGTGCTTTCCAAAGGCAACAATCCCTAGACTACTGCCGGTTAGTGAGATCTATCAACCTCTGCCTATGACAATAGCTTTGACTTGACTATTCTTCTGAAGTAAAATCGTGAATAGAACTCATTGTTTTCCCCTTCGAAAACCAACACAAAGCTGTGACCTTAAGGAAGAGACCAACGGCAAAGGAATCAGTCATAGCCAGAGAAAAAAACAGAGCCAGCCAGACCGACAAGTTCTTGTTTGATCTGCCACCCAAGTTTCCCTCTTCAATTTGTCAATTTTTTAGGAGGCGAGGGAGTCACTTGTCTAGTCTTGCGGTATTAGTTGTGATATTGATCTTACGGGAACGATCCCGCTGAGCTGTAAGACAGAAGACATACATAAAAAAATCATTTAGAACAATTACTTAAATTGGACAAAAGCAAGAAAATAGGAAGGGATGGTTGGTTGTCCATGTCCACTATGATGCTGAGTGTTCCAAACATTGGAGTCATGTCAGTTTTGTGCAACTCCAAAATTTTCACGCAGTGAGAGATCTCACATGAGTTGAGAAAGAGAACGGAACATTCTTTATAAGACTACGGAACATTCTTTATAAGACTGTGGAAACCTCTCCCTAGCAGGCGCGTTTTAAAAACCTTAATAAAAAACTCAAAAGGGAAAGCCCAAAGACCACACTATCTGCTAGCGGTGGGCTTAAACTATTACACAGTCAGTTTGGAGTTTGGATTACGTTCTAAAAGAACGGGAGATTTCAACTCCCACTAGAAAGAAATATGATTTCCACAACATATCTCCTTATCCTAATTCCTTCGCCTATGGACATGCTTCCTGCAGCAAGAATCTCACAACCTCAGACTGCACCTCATGGTCTTTATGCTGCTAAGACCAACATGTTGGGATCGTGTCAAATGAGGATTGGGGGTCGTGCAGTGCTCCATGACTGTGCAGTTAGGTATGAGGAATACCCATTTGATGATTAGAGACTAATGTGGTGAATGTTATTGCTTCTTTGAAATGCACTTGTTTCACTTCCTTGTCTCTTTTCTCCTGTCTTTTCAATCTTAAATGAAGATATCAGGACGCTGATTGGTGCTTTTCTATGACATGATGCTCGAAAAAGCAAGAGGAAGTAGTGTCAGATCATTGTTGTTAAATCAAAGCAGAAGTGTCGAGTTCAATGTTGGAGTTCCTATAGTCTCACAAAACCAGAATATTCAGAACTTCGAACAAAAGGCAACACTAGTCATCATTGAAGGGGCAGTCTTTTTCTTATTTCGCATGCAATACCCAGTTGGGTACGCAAAGATAGAAAGAATGTAACAGTTCAGGTTCACCGCTAGCAAATATTCTACATTTTGGCCCGTTATGTATTGTCGTCAGGCTCCCAATTTTAAAACATATTTACTAGGGAAAGGTTTCCACATTCTTATAAAGAACGTTTTTTTCCCCTCTCCAACCAACGTGGGATCTCACAATTCACCCCCCTTGGGAGCTAGTGTCCTTACTGGCACATCGCTCGGTGTCTGGCTTTGATACCATTTGTAACAGCTCAATCCTACCACTAGTAGATATTGTCTTCTTTGGCCCGTCGTATTGTCATCAACCTCACGGTTTTAAAACGCGTCTATTAGGGAGAGGTTTCTACACCTTTATAAATAATGTTTCGTTGCCCTCTCCAACCGATGTGGGATCTCGTAAAGAAAGCTTCAAAAGCTCTTGCTTGTTGAGGATTGTTGGTGGGAGTCCCATATCGGCTAATTAAGGAATATATCTCCATTGGTATAAGGTCTTTTGGAGAAACTAAAAGCAAAGTCATGAGAGCTTGCACTCAAAGTGGACAACATCATACCGTTATGGAGGTCCGTGATTCTAACACTGCTTTGATCGTGTTATTCAACAATTCAGCCATAACCACTTGTATTGCTGTCTCCCCAGTCCATCTTTTTTGTCCCTACGGATGAACCAACAATAAAAGGAAACTTGAAGACAAATCAAACGATGGAGGTGCTTTTCAAACCCTAAATGGGCTATAACGGATTTTAGTTTGGTTATTCCTTCTCACCATTTATCTTAAGAACACCACCAAAAGTTGGCATGTGAAGATCTTAAAAAAAGAAAAAAAGGGGAGCATCTAATGGCATTAAAAGCTAGTTCTAAAAAGCTCATAGCTCCAAAATGGATATTGATATCATAACCGGAGTGGAAGGAGGATGCAAGTGGCATCAATCGAGCCGGGTGTGGGCGTGCAGCTAGACCACCGAATAATGTTCAACAAAGATATAACACATTATCATGTAAAATACTCCGTCTAAGTCAACTTCTTCCGACATTGTGATGATAAGGCCAATAAGTCCCATCACCCAAATAACATTTGATCCTATCTAATATAATTATCAATTCTTTCAACAGACAAGCATTTGTTCCTGTCAATCTAATCTTCTAAAGAGAGTATTTAGTCTCTAAGAAAGCTCATATGCAGGGGATCTGATTCAGTTCATTTCTATACAAAGCCGCATTGTCACAAACCCACCACATTAAACAAGTAAAACACCTTATTTCTTTTAAACAATTCGTCGAACAGGTAATCCGCATACTTCAAAGCTTGTAGTTAGATTTACAGGAGTCAAAACAAGCACATTCAGAAACTGCCGGAGAGCAGGCACTAATTATGAAATTAAGAACTGAATCACTTCAATTCAACTAAAAAAACTAAAATGGTCTAGTACTGACCTTATAAGATACGGAGGAGAAGATGTAAAATTCAAATTTTCATACCGCCACAAGATGATGCGACTTCAAGCAGTGGTACTTCGATCGTCGTCCGATTGTAAGTGATCAGATTGTTTATCGAGACGGTCGTCGGGATCCCGAGTCGGATCAGAGTTGTCCATGGCGGAGCGGGCCTTATCGAGGAAGGGCTTGAAGGCCATTTCAATGGCTAGCCAACCCAGTGCCAAGGCTCCGAGGATGAAAAATGCTTGCTTGGACCCAGACGGTTTCTTTCCCATGGTTCTTGTTGTGGCGGCGCCGACTAGGTGACTCAGAAGCAGAGAGCTCCGACTGCTCTTTCTATTTTCCTGGAAGGATGAACAAAATATTAGATAAAATAATTTTAACCCTAACCCAAATTTTTCACTAATTTTCCCTTCAAATGTTAATTATTATATATAATTAAAAAAAAAATTGTACAAGGCTTTATTTTATTTAAAAATTAACGGGTTTGCTAGATTTTTTAGATTTTTTTTTTTTTTTTTTTTTTTTTTTTGTTAAAATTAGTAATTTAATTAGTAAAAATTAAACAGTGAAAATATTTGCAGCAGTTAATTCAGTTCTGAGACCAAGTTGATGAAAGTAAAAGTTTTTAGGACCCTAGAATTTACCAGGGTGAAATTTTTTTGTTACAAATATATATAATCAAATATTATTTTAAGTAAAAAAAGATCTTAAAGACTTTATTATAAATGAAATGAAATTAATTAAATTAAAAAGTTAATTCTGTGGCTTTCATTCAATCCATTTAATCCCTAATGTAATGTTAATCCCATTTCTTAGTATAAAATATTAACCCATACCCATGTCTTCTTAAAACACAACCAAAATCATCCTAATTTACCCTGATTTTTAAGTAATTCTCCATTAATTTTTCTATTTTATTTTGAAGAAAGTAGCAGAAAAGACAAGCGCCAAACTCATAGTCATAGCAAGGAAATATATGAATTGATGAAGATATTTTGATAAAAATCTCTTCACCTGTGCATTACGAACTATTTGGTCAATAATAACATAAAAAACACGGTAGATCCATATCAATTAGAGAAGAGAACAAAGCATTTTTTACAAGAATATAAAAAAATTTCCCTAACAACACGTTTTAAAAACCTTCAAGAAAAACCCAAAAGAGAAAGCCTAAAACAAACAATATATCCTAGTAGTGAACTTGAGAAAGTTTAAGAACAGCGGACCTGAAGACCTGAAGCAACTGGACAGACTTCAGGGCTTAACAAACGCATTTTAAAAACCTTGAAGAAAAACCTAGAAAAGAAAGTTGAAAGAGAACAATATCTGCTAACAATGAACTTGGAGAAATTCAAGAATAGGTCCAACAAAGCGGGCATACAGACCTCAGGGCCTCTAGCATTACCCACAAAGTGAACGAGTAAGGCAAATGGAGGAGGAAGAGCTCTAAAGAAGTCTTACAGAAATGACTTGACACAATAGTCTTTCATTGTAACCAACTTTAAGTACTGCATGACTACATCAATCAAAGTTGAAGATAAGAGACGAGATTCCAATCTAGAGTCATGCCAGAGTTTGATCATTGTGATGCTATTAGAGTGTAAATCAATAACAGACCCCAGGCATCAAAAAAAACATAGTAAGGCTACGTCAATCATAGAAAAACAACTGGATAACGTTGTAATAAACACATGAGATTGAGCAGTGAATTGCTATACCGTCACTAAATTCAGAATCCTTCGCTACAATACAAGTGTTTACACTACCGGTCTCAAAACTTGAAACAACTGCAACAAATCTAGCGTCCACGACCACGACCGCGCCCACGTCCACGTCCTCGTCCACGTCCCATAGGCTTCCCTGTAGTTGCAGTAGAGTGTAGAAATGCTTAAGCAACACATTTGATAATGGGTAGTATATGATTCGGTATACACAAGTTGATTCGCAGAAATGACCATAAGTATAGGCATGAATACAAGGACAACACGTACCTGCAGTTGGTTTCTTCGGCTTGACCCTCGGTGTCTCTTCAACAAGTAAAGTCTCGAGATTCAAGCTGTCAGGTAGAATATAATATCTGATGTTGTTGCCCCTCACACTTAAATGATCCATGGTGACTGGATTTTTACCCTTTAGAGTAAGCTTCACAGCCTTCAAATGTGTATTCATGCTGATATCCACACCTATGAAACACAAAAGAATCACTCAAAATCAACCAAACAGTGATTCCTCTTAATGATAATAGTAGTGACGTTAAAGATATCACTTTAGAGTTTATGTTTAGGTGCAATTGACATGAATGATCTAAGAAGCACAGATACAAGACAATGATATAAACACTGAGACACATCAAATTCTTAAAAAGTAGCACAAGCACCTTCGGGACAAGTTTTTTTATATAAAATATGTGTCGATATAGGTATATTAGTATTTTTTTTTTTTTAATAGATAAAATGTGAATTAAACATAAAAATAAAATATGCTTCACTAAAAACATCCATAGTTAAGTCAACTAACAATATTTGAAACCTTAAAACATATAAAAAGATTAGTTGGCTGCAAGAGGATGAACATGTCATCCTAATACTTTAGGATTGATCAATATTTAAAGATTCAATCTATAAGAAAATCTCAAAATTTCCCCTATTTTATGGGTTAAATATTATCTAGAGGTGTGTCTAGCCATGTATAGCATGGCCAAAGCATGTCCGGACATATGTGTCCATGCTTCATAGTTTTTTTTTTTTTTTTTTTTACTTTTTATGATTACTAAGTTTGTTGGTAAAAAAAAATTTAATTAAATTAGTCTTATGCTTCATACCACCTTGAGGCTTTCACCTCGCCTCCACCGGAGGAAAAGTCTCAAGGCTGCCTTTAGCTTTTTAAAACATTTGTTTATATAATCTCAGTTGAAATCCTCCCACAAAAGAGGTAACCAACTAAAATTATGAAATTGAGTCCCAACTCTCCCATAAAGGCATCTTGTGAGAAACGACTCTGTGAGTAAATAACTAGTTTCAGTAGCAGCCGCATAGAGAAATACATTAAGTGGAAGCACCCAATAAAAAGGGAGTTGGACTTTCCTTCCATTGGCTCTTTCCAGAAGTAGAGAAAATAACATCCTACTTCTTAATGCAATCTAATCAATATTCACCAACTCCTGAGGCACCCATTAAAAGGGAGTTGGACTTCCCTTCCGTTAGCTCTTTCCAGAAGTAGAGAAAGAACGCCCTAATTCTTAAATGGTTAGGGAGAAGAGTGATGGTTGGCAACAAGGGGTCAAACCAGAAAGATAGGCATCGAAACCTAAACCAAAACCATAGGTAATTTTGGGGAATAATTGTGGAGTGCTTGCTCGCTCTTTTCATAGAGAAATTGGTAGTTGTATAGCCTTTATAGGAAACATTGATACGTTTCAATTAGAAGCTGGCCAAGACTGGTAGAATACATTGATTCATTCAACTGCTTCTCCTCTAAATCACTTTCATTAAACTCTCTATGACCTTGCTAAAGCTGAAAACTCCTTTGGTTAAATCAGTTTGGAAGTTTAACGTCCCCAGGAAGGTTAATATGATTGTGTGGTCACTTACTTAAAGAAGCCTCAACACCCCAAGCGGCTCAAAAAAAGTTTCAAAATTGGGTTCTCTCCCTGGTTTGTTCCTCTGCTATTCCTATGATGAAACCCAAAATTACCATTACCTCCACTGACCTTTTTCTATAGGAGGTGGTCTTTCATGTTCAATGAGCCTGGTTTCTGTTAATGCCAACCCAGCTTGGTTGACGATTTTTCTTGGAAGCCCTCACGGGCTAAGATCTTTTGGAATTGTGCTTCTATGGATTTCTTAAGGAAAAAATAATCTACTAAGATCTTTTGGAATTGTGCTTCTATGGATTTCTTAAGGAAAAAATAATCTATTATAGATTCTATTTGTAATGTATCGCAAACATTATACAATGGTTATTCAAATACATGATATTCATATTCTATTGTAATCAGTGTTTTTTAAAGCTCAAGGCACAATAGCCTTATGTCGTGCAAGGTGCAAAAAAATAAAAAAGTAAGACCTTTCTTTTGTAATGTGCACTATATATAATTTTTTTATTAATTAATAAAGAAGAAAAACCCTAAATGCAAGGGTTTTTGCATTTAGGGATGGTAACTATTATTACGTTTCAAACGATAAAGAAGACAAAACCCAAAATGCAAGGATGGCATATATCATAATGCACCAGAAAAATGGCATATGAGCAACACAATCCAAAAATACTGGTGTTCAGCAGAAGTTAGTGTTTAATCAGACTAAGTTGATGCCATTCTAGTGCATGTGAAAAACAGTTCAAGTTAAAAGTTGAAGTATATTCACTTGATTTAAGAAACAACCCCTACAAAACAAAGGGGAAAGAAGGAATAGTAGGAATCAGTCCATATAAATGTGAGAGGACATTCAAAAGATTTGTTTAAATCTACTGATATACCATGAAATAGAATGGACATTCAGCATCAGTAGACAGTAGTCAATAGTTTAAATTGATTTGTTTGTTAAGAATGATAAAAATAAAAACTATACAGAGAAAACACCGCATCCTCCCAACGCTCAGATGACAAGGAATTTAATTGCCCGTAAGCAACCTATGAGTTTTAATACTAGTTTTTTTTTTTTTTTTTTTTTTTTTTAATGATGATAGTTGAAGATCTCACATTGGTTGAAGAGGAGAACGAAGCATTATTTGTAAGAGTGTGGAAACCTCTCCCTAGAAGACGCGTTTTAAAAACCTTGAGAGGAAGCCCAAAAGGGAAAGCCCAAAGAGGCCATTATCTGCCAGCGGTAGGCTTAGACTGTTACAAATGGTATCAGAGCTAGAAATTGGACGATGTGTCAGCGAGGAGGCTGAGCCTCGAAGGAGGGTGGATTGGGGTCCCACATTGATTGGAGAAGGGAACAAGTGCCAGCGAAGATGCTGGGCCCCCGAAGGGGGGTGAATTGTGAGATCCCACGCTGGTTGGGGAGAAGAACAAAGCATTCTTTATAAGGGTGTGGAAACTTCTCCCTAACAAACGCGTTTTAAAAACCTTGAGGGGAAGCTCGAAAGGGAAAACCCAAAAAGGACAATATTTGCTAGCAATGGGCTAGTACTATTTTTTAAGATTCAAAATGGGAGTGGGATAGCGGTTCTCCAAGCGCGCACTTGCCAGAACTCTTCAGTTAGCTTACACAACTACACAATTGCAGGAACAAATGTTGGGAGATAGTTGTGAGACATAAGCAAGAAAAAAGATTATCGTACACTGGCGGACAGACTGAACCTTGGCGTGACTAATAGTTAGCAATGTACTTCAGCCATCGCAAGAAAAACAGCCACACACAGTTTTAAACGAAACATTAATTAAATTTCTAGCAGCAATGTAGCAGAGAAAAATCTATGTAAGCCAAATTATCAAGAACAAGAAGGTTCAAGATAAATCATAAACCACTCCAAATTGACAGTAGAACCCATATTCCAACTATCCCTTCCAACTGAAACATTCTACAACTTGCACTACAGTGGAGTTCAAAGAAGAAAACAAAACAGAAGTTGGAAGTTAAAAAAAAGCTCTGCTACGAAGTTGGTAAATCTAGGGTTTAACAAGATTAAGAAAATATCAATGTGCGTGGTTGTGAGTGAAAGTGAGAAGGATACCTGTGATAGTTCCATGGACAACAGTTCCATTTTTTAGCTCGATTGAGACCGTCTCATTGTTCAGCTTCATCAAAAACCTGTACATTCACCAAAATCCAAGTTTCTAAACATAAAAACGGCCATTCTGGGGAGAGAACAGCGAGTAGATCGAAAAGAAGAAGATCGAAAATAGAAAAGAGAAGAGCTTAAGAGCATACCTAACGAGCTTCATGATTGCAGGGGAAATGAATGTAGGGTTTCGAACACAGACAAACAAGCGAAGCGGGAGAGGAAATTTGTAGAGTTTTACGTGCTGGCGGTGAGTATGAAATAGTAATTTAAGAAAGTAGAAGGGCATAAATGTAAATAAAAATAATAAAAGGACGATAAGGGAAATGATGCTCTAACCCGGCCCGGCCCAGCGACGTGTTTATATCTATGAATAAAAATATTAACCAATAAAAGCTAGAAATTTAGTTTAATGTCGACCTTCCGTTTAGATCGGGTGACTACCATCATAAAAACTCAAGTCAACCGCTAGCAGATATTATCTGTTTTGGCTCGTTACGTATCACCGTCACCCTCGCGGTTTTTAAAACGTGTCTATTAAGGAGAGGTTTCCACACCCTTATAAGGAATATTTGATTCCTCTCTCCAACCGATGTGGGATCTCACAATCCACCTCTATTGGGGTCCAGCGTCCTCGCTGACACACCGCCTCATGTCTGGCTCTAATACCATTGGTAACAACTCAAACCCACTACTAGCAGATATTGTTCGCTTTGCCCCGTTACGTATCATCGTCAACCTCACAATTTTAAAACGCATCCAGTAGGGAGAGGTTTCCACACCCTCATAAGGAAGGCTTGAAGAATCCCCTCTCCAATCGATGTGTTATGGAACTACATTATTATAAAACGACTTGAACGTTTAACCTCTTGGTTAATGGTATATGCTTAATACTCTCATTTTGTAACAAATGGTTCGCCTCTAGCCTCTAGGTATGTCCGAACTAGACAATAAGAACCTACTCTATTCTCAAACTCTTTATCGAACTTCACCCAACTTAATCCAGACCCACAACACAGCTAGAACCAAGAGAAACATTGACTTCCAGTTTCGCTCGAACCTACCAAAACCACAAAATCGTATTTAAGTTTCATGTTCAACACTACAGATTTTGAAGTAGTCTAAACATACGCTAAAATCTCCAAATCATCGAGTTAATTAGAACAAATCTTAAAAGAGATAAGTCGGGGTTTATCGGACAATGATTACATGGAGCACCAATCTTTTTTTAATTTATTAATGCAATTTCAAATCTTTTGATGGAGCTTAATGATTGAATCAACTCAAGATTTTGTTACCTTCTAATTTCAATCATTAATTTCATAATTTCAAATTTTAAAACTCAATTAATTTGAAATCTTACTAAATTTGACTAATTCGATCATCAATTATATATTAAAGTTTGTAGTGGTATGACAAAAGAGACTCCGTATCTATTTTTATATAAAATATGAATTCACTTACGAGTTATCTTCTTTAGTCAATTGGTTGGTTGACTTTTCTTTTTTTTTTTTTGTCTGGTCAACCTAGTTAGTCCGACCAACCCAAAAAATATGGTTATAAAACCAATTTAGACCTACCATACTTTTAAGATTATTATGAATATTAAGAATTTTAACGTTTTTTTTAATTCTATTTGAGTTGTTCAGATCACTAACCCAATCAACTCAAAGTTTCGGACTAATCCAAAAGATTTATCAAACCCAACCCAACCTATATACGTCTCTACCATTAAAGAGCTTGAGGGCTACTCGAAAAAAAATGATGCATGAACCTTTTCCTTAAGAGAAAAGTGAAAGAAACTGAACGTAATCCACTTTGGGTGAACTAGTCTAAAGCCGGTGTCATCTCTCCTTTTAGACTAAATTAATAAAAATACTATTAAACTTTTAAAAGTTTCAAAAATACTCTCTAATTTTGAAAAAATTTAAAAAATATCTTTAACCTTGAGTAGTATTTCAAAAATTTTAGTACCTTCAACTTTTTTAAAGGTTCAAAATACTTTGTCAGTTATTAATATGTTTATCAATAAAGTTTGTACGGTTAAAATTATAAATAAAAACGGTCTAAAGAAATCTCATAAAAACGTGGTAGCAATGGTAATAATATTTTTAAATTTTTTTAAAAAAATTAAAGATAAATTAAAAAAAATTAAAATATTAATAAAAAATTTCAAAATTCAAAGGTATTTTTAAACCTTTAAAAAAAATCTATATTTAAAATCCTTTTGAAACATCAAAAATATTTTAAAACAAAATATTAACTAAGTGCAAGGTATTTTGCATTTTTTTTTAAAAATTAAAATATTTTTTTAGACTTTTTAAAAAATTGAAAAAAATTATTAAAACTTTTGGCATTTTTGAAACCAAATAAAAAGGCAAAGGTATTTTTGTTTATTTAACCTAATTTTTATTAATGCTCTTGTTACTTAAAAATTTTAGATTAGTTTATTATTATTATTATTATTATTATTATGAGATATATCCCATAAACTTTAGATTTTTTTAGTGATAAAATTATTATAGTTTTGAAATTATTAAGAAATATATAAATGGAAACTCATTTTTAATATATATATATATTATATCAATATACACGCGCGCACTATTATTATTTTATTTTATTTTATTTTTCAATTTATTTACCTCCTGCATTATTTTACCAAAACCCAGCCCCTAAAAGGTTTGACCTTTCTTTGATCATAGTGCCCTAGCTATTCTAAATGATATTGACTTGCACCAATAAATATATATATATATATATAATGATCCATTCTATTCAGTCATAAAAAATCTTCCAAATATTTGAACTGTATGAACTTTTTTATTCTTCAAGCTAGGCGTATAGGGAATTCAATGTGTTTTGCTCGAGAGGGCTTAATTGGTAGGAAACAAAATAGGTAAAAATGTGGCCGAGATGTGGCCACATTTCTAGTGCTACACTTGATGATGTCACCTGATGTCATTCATATGCCTCTTGTTTACTCGAACATCACTTGCTCACTAGCTTCCACTGTGGTTCGTCCTTGAACCATATTCTATTGGGAGAGGTCCTGCTTTGATACCAGGTGTAACGTCCTATGCCCATGATTTAAGTATTTCTTGACCATCATATCCATAAGGTCACTCCTCGCTTATTTGGGCATCACTGGCTCTCTGGTTCCACCTTAGTTCGTCCCTGAACCATATTCTGTGGGGAGAGGTCCTGCTTTTATACCATATTCAATGTCTCATGCTCATGATTTTAGTCTTTCTTGACCATCGTATCTATAAGGCCACTCTCGTTTAGATATGGTCTTGGTTCATTCATGTACCCCTTCTGATATGAACCAAGACATCAATCATGCAATATAAACTTCTGATATGAACCATATTTGATCAACAATGTAATGCAAATCTTATTTTCCCTTGTAGTGATTCCTTATCACCATCCTTACTTGGGCATCACTTGCTTCCAGGTTGGTTCGTTTCCAAGCCATATTCTACTGGGAGAGATCTAGTTTTGATACCATATGTAACGTCCTATGCACGTGTTTGTTACAACTAGTACTAGTCTAACAAAAAGTACACCAAGAATCCCGGTAACATCTAAGTACACCAAGAATCCCGATAAGATCTTAAGCAAGAGGTCAACAAGTTTAGTCTTTTCGTAACGTTACAAAATCAAGCAAGAATCCCGATAAGATATTCAAACGTCTGTCCAAACGTAGTATTATTTTTTACTCACAACCCTTTTTCTAACTCGAGCATCAAAATGTATAGACACTAGACTGACACATAATTCTTTTTATCTCACACGTCAAAGTTCAAGTCTCCGTCCTACAAATGTAGGGTTGATTATCAATATAAGGGCAATGATGATGGTGTAGGATCATGTTTCTTAAAGATTCCATAACCATATCGAACATTTGTCCTCCAAATTAAGACCCAACTTGGAACCTAAAGAATAAGAATGTTTCTCTTTTTCCACCCCTAAAGAACCAAGTTAGTGCAACAATTGGGGCATCATCATTAGTGAGAATCTATAATCAATAGGGCACGGGACCAAACAAAGAAAAAAAAAACATTCTTAACTTAAGGTTTACACTGTCCCTTTGATGGGTCTGTCTTGTGAGCTAATAAACTTGAGTACACCATAGAACTTCTCTCGAACAACCTCCCTTTAATCCAAACTCGACTCTTTTCTCTATAACCCTAGAACAAAGTACATCATTTGTTCAACACTTGAGTCACTTTTTTTTACCATATCTTCGAGGCTCACAACTTCTTTCTTCGACATTTGAGGATTCCGTTGACATGACTAAGTTAAGGGCATGACTCTAATACCATGTTCGGAATCACGACTCTTCACAATGATATGATATTGTCCACTTTTAGCTTGCTTCGGGATTCCCCAAAAGATCTCATGTCAATGGAGATGTATTCGTTACTTATAAACCCATGATCATTCCTTAAATTAGCTACTGTGAGACTCGCTCCCGACAATCCTCAACATATCCGATAATCATTTAATGAACTACCTTCTTACGAGAATCTAATGATAAACCCTAAAGCAAAAGAACAATAAGCCTGCAATTTTGAGAGAATCTTATTCCTAAAGTATAAAAAGGACTATAATAGAGCCATAAGGCCTTCAAAACATAACATAACCTAACATAACATGTCGGAAACCGTAAAAAAGAGCGACAAAATCCTTTAGAAACATAAGTATAATCGAAGTCGTCGCTTTTTAGTTGACTGTCCGAAGACAATCCACTGATGAATTAAGCCACTCCGTTGACCATCTTCCCAATCCCTATAAGTAGCTCACTCCTCAGCTCAATCATTTAGGAGCCAGCCCCGTTGACCAAATCCGTTGACCAACAAACCAAGCTGCCATGATCAGTAATTTAGCAATGGTTAACCACGAGCTTCCATTTGGGGAAGTGAACATCAAAGGGTTAACTCCGGCACGGCGGCTGATCAAAGAAAAGCAAAAGGTGGTGGTGGTGATGGGAGCCACCGGCAGCGGAAAATCCCGGCTTTCCATTGACCTAGCCACCCACTTCGCCAATTGTGAAATAATCAACTCCGACAAAATTCAACTCCACGACGGCCTCGACATTGTCACCAACAAAATCACCCCCAACGAGCAGCGTGGAGTACCGCATCACTTACTTGGCATAGCCAGCCCTTTCCTAGACTTCAGCGTCGCCAAATTCTGCCGCATGGCCACCCTAGCCGCCGACTCCATCGTCCACCGCACCCACCTCCCAATCATAGTCGGCGGTTCCAACTCCTACGTCGAGGCTTTAGTCGACGATTACCCAACATTTCGCTCAAAATACGAATGTTGCTTTCTTTGGGTGGACGTTTCGATGCCGCTTCTCCATTCGTCGGTGTCGGACCGAGTGGATAAGATGGTCGGAAATGGACTTGTCGAAGAGGTTCGAAACTTGTTCGACCCGAATAATGTGGATTATTCCCACGGCATTAGAAAGGCAATTGGCGTCCCGGAGCTGGACCGCTACCTTCGCGCATCTAATTCAGACTATGAAATACGAGAGAAGCTGCTACAAGAAGCCATTGCGGAGATCAAGGCGAACACGTGTGAGTTGGCGTGTCGCCAGGTGGACAAAATCCTTCGCCTTAGGAATGTGAAAGGCTGGAAGATACACAGGGTGGATGCCACGGAGGCGTTTAGGAAGAAAGGGAAAGAAGGTGACGAGGCGTGGACTAAGCTTGTGGCTGGACCAAGCGCCCTGATTGTAGCGCACTTTCTGACCCAACCCCACGGTCAACCCTATCTGAAACATAAGGCTTTCAGAATGCCTTTCAAGAGGGCGCCCACCGCCGCCGCCACCGCCGCCGCCGCCGCCCGTTAGAGAATACATCAATATGATGCATTTGCATGGCTTTCCTACTACTATTTCATTCTTTTTTCTTTTTTCACCTTGACCTACAAATAAAAACAAAAACTTGATCGAGTTCATCTGATGATGATAACGTGTTCGTTGTTTTTAACATTATTTTCAATACCAGAATCATAGCTTTTGAGTTTCATATTTAAACGATTCAGAACTTTCATATATAAATCAAGACATCTCAGTCATATAATATAAATTTAAAAAATGTTGTTCAAATTATTACAAGAATCAAAATTTATTATGTGACCGCCCGACCACGAAGCTTATTCGGGAGATGTTTTTTATTTGCATTCACGCCTTTTGAAAATAGCAGCTAAATCAAGTCCTGCTTTAGGTGAAGGAAGGACGATTGCTCTACTAATAGTTGAGACCTAATCGAGAGATGTTTCAGCTTAGTGGGGCGTCATTTATTCTCAAATGGTTACAAATTCTTGATAATTATGCCGTTTATGTTGCATGATTAGAACATGATCAAATTATCTTATGAAATGGTTCGAATTTCAAATAAGTTTTCTTGTCTTATATTTGATCAACAAGGTAATCTAGATCTTACTTAGCTCAGATTCTTTCAAGTTACCGTCATTAGTGATAGAAATCATCTTGATCAGAGGATTTTAACAGATATGATCTACGAGTTTGCATAACTACGAAGGTTCTTAGATCCAATTAGCTACGATTATCATATCAATCCATACGATCTTACCCTTTTGATTTTTCGTAATGTTTTTGCTAGATCATGCATGCAAATTAGTATTAGTGCTGAAATTTTGTTATAGAAGATGAATGAATGTTCATATGAGGTTTGCAGCTTTTGGTGGAGAAAGTGGTGGTGGTGGCAATGGAGATGCCCCGCACCAATGGCGCATGGCTAAGCACAGAATAAAATGATGTATGTTTATATATGTTTATCATTGTGTTTATATGCTTAGTGGGAACCACTGTTGCTTTGGTGGAAAGCTCATGAAGCTTCCTCAAACACGACGTTGTGGGATTGCATTACTCGCTTCAACGGATGAATTAGATGGGATGATGATTATATTCTCTGTTTCGAGTTTCTTTCGTTTATATTCATTAACTAATCATTGTATTGCTTAATCCTTATAAGCTTTCCTTACAAGGGTGTGGAAACTTCTCCCTAGCAGACATGTTTTAAAGCTGTGAGGTTGACGACAACATGTAAAGGACAACTAGCAGTGGACTTAGGTTGTTACAAACGGTATTAGACTCATACATGGGGCGGTGTGTCAGCGAGGATGCAAGACCCTCAAGGGGGTGGATTGTGAGATCCTACATTGATCAGTAGGCGGTGTGCCAGCAAGGACGGAGGGTCCTCAAAGGGGGTGGATTGTGAGATCCTACATCGGTTGGAGGGGAACAAAACATTTCTTATAAGGGCGTGGAAACTTTTCCCTAACAGACGTGTTTTAAAACTGTAAGGCTGATGACGATACGTAACGGGCAACTAGCAGTGGACTTGAGTTGTTACAAACGGTATTAGACTCATACATGGGGCGGTGTGCCAGCGAGGACACAGGACCCTCAAGGGGGGTGGATTGTGAGATCCTATATCGGTTGGAGAGGGGAATAAAACATTTCTTATAAGGGTGTGGAAACCTTTCTCTAGCAGACACGTTTTAAAACTATGAAGCTGACGACAATACGTAATGAGCCAAAGCGGACAATATCTGCTTGCGGTGGACTTGAGCTGTTATAATTAATGCAACTAGCTAGTAGGATTGCAAGGTAGTATTTCTCGAAGAAAGGAGATTGTCCTCTCAATCGTGCTCATTGTACATGAGGCGGTCATCCACCAAAAATGCATCTCGCCTCTAAGCATGTAGCTAACTCAATGGACTCGACGACTCGTGAATGAGTAGTTCATTTTCTTCAATTGGTATCGGAGCAATTTTTTTTGGATTAAAACTTTCACGACCCACTTTTTGAATTTTCGAATCACAAATCATGACCTACACTGATGTGGAGTTTTTTCGAGGAAACTTCTCCAAATCGATCCGGAGGTCTCGAGAACGTCCAAAATGTGATTAGAGACATGACGGAGAATGGTTGGCTAGCACCCGAGCATGTTATGGATGTGGTAAAGGTGTCCATAACGAAAGAGCCCGAAGGCCAACCAGCTAGCAACGAAGAATCCGAAAAGTAATTTTTTTCGCACCGATGGAGACGTTCGAAAAGAAGATGCTCATTATCATATTAGAAAAAGAGGCATGGTGTGTGGATTTAGGACAATATAATGAAGAGAATTAGAATATTTTAGGCATATATTGACTTTGAAGAAAGAGATGTTTTTTTAGGTGAAAAATTGGGAATGCATGGGTAGTGCAGTCCTAATCCCATTTGCAATTGGCACTCAAGATAATGCATCAACCGATTCCATAGCCCACTCGAAGCCCACGCTCTAGACGAAAACGTTACGTCAATATATGAACGAAAATCATACGTTAACGTTTCATAGATTATTCTAAATTTTTTAATATTACCTACGAAAATTCACAAGTATATTTTAAACAATAAAAAATATTTTTGAATTTAAAAAAGTTTAAAGGTGTTTTTGAAGTTTTATTTTTTTTTAAACATTAAGAATATTAATGAAAATTTTGAAAATTCAAAGGTATTTTTTAAATATTTTTTTTAGAGTTAAATGTCTGTATGGTTTCAACAAACCTCATTCGCCATTCGAGCATCGCTTGTGCAGAGTCTAAGCTTGTTCGACCACACACGCTGCCTGCGCATGCATGTTCAATCGTTTGTAACCCAACCGACTTGCCTCTAAACTAGACCAAGGCATTCGATTCGACCTTTCCTCTACCCGGGGACAAGGTCTGTCAATGCAGCGTCGTGTCTCATCTTGTCATCTCGATCTCCATCGACATGACCCATATATCTTGACGCCATCCTGAATCTCAGGATGTCGTCGGTCATTACAACTCGCTCAATCATGTCATCGAGACTTTTCTTTTTTTAAAAGATTAAGGATATTATTAAAATTCATGAAAGTTTAGAGATACTTTGAAAACAAACCGACGAGTTTAAGAATATTTTTATTAATTAGCAGACAGTCTATCAACAAAGTGAATAGTTGTAGTTATCGTTAATTTTTATTTTTATAATTTTGCAGAAACATGTGGGCCACGTTTTAAAGATGAAATGTGACGTGAGTTGTATCTGAAGGACCTTGACCTAAAATAAAAGTAATGAAGCTCAGTTCAGCATGAGCCATGTTCGGTTAAGGTAGAAAGAAACTCGTTGAAGCCATGAGTTTAAACGTTACATACTAACATAAACAGAGTTAATGCACGGTTAGTGCATCGGTAGAATATCAACACTCATTCAATATCAAATTTTAAATATAATATTGTTATTGATGTATTGGTAGTATATTATATTAGTACTCATTCATATATCATACCTATAATTTGTTAATGTCATCGATATACTGAATATGGTGTGCTCAAATCTTAATTCGTCCAATACACGAGTAAGTGACAACGCAGTCTTCTGTTATGGCCACGGTAAACACATGTGAGGGACGCACCATGAAGTTAGCCAAATGAGCTAATGCATCGCACACGCATTCGCTATCCACTTGCCTCGCCCATCGGCAACATTCCTCTTCGATGGGCGAGCGGCTGCGGTGGTGGTGCCCATGGTGATGCCCACGGTGATGTCCATGCCCATGGTCGTGGTCGTGGTCGTGCCCATGCCCGTGGGGCAAAGAAGGCGGAGAAATTGGGAGGGGCTCTGGGTTGAGAGGCAGCCTCGCACAAGCGTAGCTTGCGAGCGCAAACTGTGAAGAACAAAGGGGTTTTGGAGGGTATGACCATGCTTGCGCATCTATGTCGGGTATCATCAGAGCTAAAACGAACAATAATGCTGCTAATGTGTATGCGAATTCGAGCCGCCCCATCTGTTTGGTATTGATTAGTTGACCATTTTGGCATGTTCATTGGCTCTATTTATACACAAGGAGCTTTTGGGTTGGTTTGTCTTGTTTAGGTTCCAAGACGGTGAGCATTGTTTAGGCCCCATTCAGTTGGTGCTGTATGCCTCATCCCTTTTCAATGAGCCTCTTGTTAGGTGATATTCATGCATTATATTACAAAAGCTTCTAAAGAGTGTTTTCATCTAGAAGTTGATCCATTTTATTGGAGAATTATGGTTGAAACAAATGTCCAATTGAGTATAACCAACCTAACTATGAGATCCTGCATCGAGTCCGAGCAAGGACGCTGGACCCTGAAAGGGAGTGAATTATGAGATCCCATATGGGTTGGAGAGAGAAACGAATCATTCTTTATAAGGGTGTAGAAACCTCTCCCTGTGTTTTAAAAACCTTGAGGAGAAGCTAGAAAGGGAAAGCCCAAAGAGGACAATATTTGTTAGCGATGGACTTGGACTGCTACACTACCAACGAAGAAAGTGCTCCAACCGAGCCTCAATGTTTGCCATTGTGTTTGTCTCATTACCAATAGCCCTACATCTCCCACTCAATTGTGTCACCAATTGTCGATGCAGAACTCTGTCACTACTCTGATTCAGACACCATCGACATATGTGTTTAGTGTAAAATTTTCAATAATATCCTTAAATTTAAAGAAAAAAAAATTAAAAAATATATATACTATTAATTTTGGATGAAACCATTAATAAAAATTTTATTTAAGGGTATTTTTTTGAAATGTTTTTTTTAAAAATTAAATGGATATATTTTAAACCTTTTGAAAGTTCCATATTTTTGAAACATAGAATTAAGTGAACGTACTCCCCAGGCACGATACTTAACACATTAGCCATAACACTACACAAGTTGATACGCACAGCATCTAGTATCCATCATTTACGGCTAGGACTACTGAGGTATCTAATCTCATTTGCTTTCCTAGCTTTCGTCTCTTAGTGTTAATGTCGGCTCAACAGAGTACTTTCACTAATGGTGTTCTTTTCGATCTCAAAGCATTTCATCGCTCCACCGAAAATTCCCTCTGCCCATACCATGCTCCAGCTTGGTAGTTTCCACTGCATGTTCAAGGTTGAGCACTCGGATTTGTTCCATAAAAAATTAACGGTAAAAATATTTTTGATAATTTTTAA